TTGCAGTTGTCGTCCTCCAGGCGATGGGCACCGGCGGTTTCGACAGCCTTATTATTCTCCTCGGCGTCCTATTTGACAGCGAGCCCAACCCCAAGCTTATTTCTAGGCGCAAGCAGACTGTGTTTCTTGTCTTCCTGTGGACCATCTTCTGTATGCACTTCAACTCGGGTTATCGCGCCAGCCTCTCCATGGCCTTTATCAATCACATCAGCAAGCCTGGGCCCAGCAGCTTCCGAGAAGTCAAGGTGAGACCGGGAGACCGAGTTATAGCTCAAACTCGTGCCCATTCTGACACCCCTGTCGCCTCTGTTCGCAGAGGGTCGGGTTCCTGTTTGGCATAGCCAGTTACCTGCTACAGGAGGACAACCAGGGCACGCGAGAGATCGGCCCACGACTTGAGACCTGCAACAGCTTCAGAAACTGTTCCGCGGAAATTAAGAGTGACCCGGAGAATATGGGCCTCGTCATGTCGGAAGTCTCAATGTGGTACGTTTAAACGTTGTGAAATTCACATGAAATAGTTTATACCATGGACTTTGCGTCTGGCAGGTATTCGACGCCGCGTTATTTCGTTGACGACCAACTCAAGAGCCTTCTCAAAAGAAGCGAGAGCCTGGCTACGTTCTTCATCAGTTTTTTAATCCACAAGAGCTCACCTCTTCGGAGGCCCCTCGACGACGCACTGACAAAGACGCGCGAGTTTGGGATCAACATCAAGGCGTTCATCGACATAGAGAGGAACCTGACACGAATTGTAAAGCCACAGGCCTCTCCACACAGATAAAGTGTTTAACTAGCGTGCACATACACGCGCTCAACACTATGTTGCACACTTTCAAGTGTTTGACTGGGTATTTGAATAATATAACGTGTTTTACAGTAAAGTTGAACATTTCAAAGTGTTCCACACCAGGGTTGGCTATGAAGCTTTCGGCACATTAAAGTGTTCAATTTTTTTTTGTTGAACACTTCGAAGTATTCAAATATCCTTTCAAACACTTAAGTAATTGTTAAACACGTGCATGTGCACGCCAGTTTAACAATTTATTTATCAGTGCACATGGGGAAGGCATGACCTTGTATTTTTTGATTTTGGTAAGACGAGTGTCCAGCACCATTTTACGGTCTGCAGATGGCGAGGAATTACCGCGAGCGCCTTCGCACGGTCGACCGCAATGGCTTCTTTCTGGTATTCGGCGTCTGCGGTCTCCTTTTCGCTGGCCTTGCCCTAGCCGCGCTGGTTTTCTGCGGGGAGCTGGTGCATCACAGGCTAAGCCAGTCCGCTCCCTGGTCGGCACTGGTCCGCAGGCTGCTGGCTGGACGAGTATATCTGCAATGAACACATCCGACGCGTCACACACTCTAATACTCTAGATGACCGTGGAGTGAAATTTGATTAATTTTCATTAAATTGTAAACTGAACAACTGACAATCAACTACGCAAAGAACAAAAAATCAAAAGACGACTAACATTTTCACACGAATTTGCCAACTGAATTCAACAAACTAAAGTGTTTCTTCAGTTTAGGCGGATGTATAATTTACTTTTTTTAGGGGTTCGTTTTGCAGTTTACGCGAAGTGTTGACGTTTTTAAGGGAGGGGAATGGTGATAAAGGTAGGTTCCCTGCATCTGCCTGTCTTTGCTGTGGGGCATGCTAGCTAATGAAGTAGTAGGTGCTGGCACAGCGGGGTGGGCGGTGCTGCTGAGTCCGCACGGCCAGCGGGTGGCCAGGCCAGGCGGCGGTCTCTCGACTTGAGTACGTGTTTCTGCTGTTGCTCCACGCGCTCTTCACTCCAGCGTCGCTGAAGCCGTGCAGGCTGGAGCGCCTAGCTGTAGCCGAGCTGGGGCTGATGTAGCTGAGTTTGCAGCGGAGCTGGAGCCGATGTGGGTGGAGCTGCAGCGAATCTGTGGGGTGGGGGAGCTAGCGAGGAAGTGCGTCATGTGTCGATTTTTTTTTTTTTCGAGCATCAGCGGGGGCGGCAGAGCGCCCTTTGTGTGCGGCGGCCCTCCACTTCCGGGGGCGGGGGCTGGAGGGGCACGCTAAATTCAAATGGCGGCGGCCGTTATGTGGTCCGGAGTAGATAAATCTACCGGAGGCTGCTGTGCTGCGCGGCGTTGTACTCCTTGGGATACAGCTGCTGGGGGGGATTAGGCGGGGCCGTCTAATCCCTGGGGATTGAGGCGCACCCCAGAGATGTATGTGCGCGGTCCTCACCGGGCGGGGCGTAACAGGGCAGACTAGACCGTCTGCTGCTGCTGCTGGGAGCGGTTGGCTGGATCTTGGGAACCGCAGACCGATCCGCAGAAACCGATCTCCAGGGAGGAACCCTCTGGTCTGCACGGCCAACGGTAATGGCGCGTTTGAGCTCACGCCGCGGCTCCGGCAGTGGGCGGCAGCGGACACTTGGAGTTAGTGTATGTGGGTACGGCAGAGAGTGGGCGCCCGCACTGCTTTCGGTCTCGATGGTTCGCGGTTAATGCTTTGTCACACGCTAGTGGGGGTGAAATTCACGTTACTACTATGTTTTACTTTTACAATGCAAACGATTTTCACATGTGTTCGGCGACGAAGCTCAGTGTTCTTAAGTGCCTAACTTTTCTCTTGTCTCAAGTCTGGAGTACGTATATAAGGAGACCGGGTCCAACGCGTTGTTATTGAGAGAGCACACGCTGCTGGACGGGGAGCGGAGCTTCAGTCGGACTTATTGTGCAGTCCGGCCTTCCGGCCTCTCGACACACCACACAGTGTGCGGTCACTGCAGCAGCGCAAAGTTACTCGGCGCAGAAACTTTTGTTTGTTTGCGTGCCGCGCTAGTCGGTATGCGCCCGCCGACAGTGATTGCGCCCATTTGTCTCCCCGCACTCTCGTTAGCCACATGCTGGTCCCCTCCCCTCTCCCCGGACCCGCTGTTCAATCACATACTGGGCGGCATAGCCGGTCCCCGTCTAATGGCGCCCAGCTCATCTTTCTAACAGCATCAATCAATTATTTTTTTAAATCGTAATATCTGGCCATCCATTATCGCTTTTGTTTTCAGGGTGAGCATTAGCATTGAGAAATACCTGTCAAGGTTACAGGAAAACGTACCAAGATGTGTGTTCTAGAGTTACAATTCGTAATACACTGCAACCGGGTAAATTAAAAGTATACTGTGTATATTGTTGTAAATCCACGAAGATTTTTTTCACAGTTCGTTTTTGAGAACAGTTTGCCAGCAGAGTACACACTCCGGAGCAGTGTTTCGTTGGGACCGACGTGAGAAACGGCCTGAAGGGAGGCGAGGCCCAGCGGCCCCCATAGCAGCGGTGTGCAGGGTGCAGTCTGGGTGTGATTGCAGCACTCTCCCCCAATCCTTCTCTTTAACTTTTACCCCCGCCGCCCTTCGCTTCCTGCCGGCCGCTTCCCCCACGTTAGGAGGGTCATCGCTGGCCGTAAAGGAGCTGACTGCCACCTGACCCCCTCCTCCCCGCCCTCCCTCTGCCCTCCGCCTAACCGCCCCCGTGATGATGGTCGTTTTGAGAAATGGGCAGCGTGTTGCTAGACGGATGTGGAGAGTTCCACCGCGGCTCGGCGCGGCCGCCGCCTAAGTCCAAGGGGAAGGAGGAGCCGGAGGAAAATGGCGTGCAAAAAGTCCGTAAAAATTTGGGAAATCGTTGTCAGGGAGGAAGGGGGAAAGAAGGGGCCCGGCGTGTGGGTGGGCAGACAGACGACGGACCGCCAGACTGGCGGCTGGGAGACTCTTGGGACGCTGCCAGGTGGCGTGGCGAGGCGGGGAGAACTTACCTTGAGCCTGAGCAGAAGATAAAGGGAACGAGCATCAGGTAACTACCGCGCGCTGCTGGTCGAGTCCTCCATGAAGGCAGGCCGCAGCTGACCAGACTCCTCGGACTCGCTCCTTCTCCGCCCCCTTGTTCCCGGCCGCTGCGCGTGTGTACGTGTGAGTGCCGGGGGTTAATTCGCTCTCGCCCCGCTCGGTCAGTTATCCGCCTGATTGGGGGCGAGTCTAGTGGCGCTCGCGCCGTGTGCCCTCTTCCCCTGAGAGTGCGAGCGAGAGGAGGGGAGGGGGAAGGGGGAGCGGAGAGAGCGCGCGCAGCAAGGTGAGATGGTTGGTGCTGACCCACGGGTGCGATAACTGGATTACGGGGCTCCTCTTGCCAATCCTGGCCTGGCGGCCCTGGAGAAGTGTCCAGGGTCGTCCAGTAAATCAAGCCGTGTGTGGGGCATCGCTGGCTCGGCGCTCGGCCTGGGCCAGCACTCGGCCTCCTCCTGCAGCAGTACGGCGGCGGTGGTGTGGCCCTGGGCATACAATGTGGAGCAGCAGCCGCGTGCATGCCGCTCACTGCTGCTGCCGCTGGACTTTGCGTGGGCCATCCGTATGCAGCCGCCGGCGGTCCGGTCCCTTTGGATATGAAAACACCATACTCGTTGGCTCGGAATGCTTCCCGAGGGCTTCCGGGTGCGGCTGGAGCAGAGCGGACCAGGGCATAGGGCCTTTGCAGCAGGGGAGGTGCTCGCACACGTCCCCTTCTCTCCTTATCTCTCACCTGAGCTCACCTGGTCCTGGCGGCCAGCCCGGCCGGCCTTATGTAAAGCACCGCGCGCGTCCGGATCGCGCAGCTCTGGCGTGGCTTCGGCTGCAGCGAGGCGGTGGCGATAACGCCCCTGCGGTCGGCGATGATTGTCCCATTGTGAGCAGAGCAGGGGCCGGAGCTGGGCGCGCGGCCGAGCGGACGCAGGAGCTGATTGAGCCTTTGATTGCGCTGCTGCTGATGCTGCTGCTGCGACTGCTGGCTGCTGCTGCTGCTGCTGCTTGGGTTCGGTTGTTTGTGGTGTCTGCACTGTGAGTGAGATTGGTAGGTAGAAGCGTTAGAGCGGGTGAGGGTGAGGCGAAAGAGAGAGATCAATGCCCAGTCCTTCCTTCGACATTAGACCTTGCTACTGGCATACTGTACTTTCTGGCAGAAATACATAGGCACGCGCATGCAGGGTAGCAGGCTGTGTTGCATATGGTGCAAAGCCGTGTTGTTGGGGAAACTAGACGACGGTTATGTGTACCGTCGATAACATGTGTTGGCATTCACCTCTGATGATTTATTCCATCATTGGCTTGTGATTGATTAATTCTAATATCGCGAAACACTCAGAGCACACTATTCTCTATCGTCCAATGGTAAAATACCTTGTCGTCCCCAGTTTGCGGTGCATCGTGTTTGATAGATGACTGCGCGAATAGGGCAATACGGGAGCGAGAGTTTTTGTTTTCTCGTTCGCCCCCCTGTGTTCACACCAGATTTGTGTTTTCGCTTCTGCTTTGTTTATTTTCGCTCTTGACGGTGCAGGCCCGTGATGAATGTCCCCACACGATGACAGGGGAAAGGAGAGGGGGGGGGGGCACCACCCGCCGCCGCTTTTTGTGTCGAGCGTTTTATCTCGGCCGGCGATTGTTTCCACGGCCCGCTGGACTGCGGCCGCACAGCGGCAC